ATATATATATATATAAATATATACACACGAGATATTTGGGCTCAATATCTAAAAATTTCCTTTTGGGAAGAAAATATTGTTTCATCTTTCATACTCACCTCTTTCACATAAATAGTCATGTTTAATACTTAGCAGAAAAACCTATTAACTAAAATCTACACAAATAAGCATTGAATATGCAGTAGCACTGAAATGTGGCTTTAATTTTTTTTTAGATTATAGAAACACGAGATATTTGGGCTCAATATCTAAAAATTTCCTTTTGGGAAGAAAATATTGTTTCATCTTTCATACTCACCTCTTTCACATAAATAGTCATGTTTAATACTTAGCAGAAAAACCTATTAACTAAAATCTACACAAATAAGCATTGAATATGCAGTAGCACTGAAATGTGGCTTTAATTTTTTTTTAGATTATAGAAATTGATGTACTAACTCAGAAAATAATAAGTTTACAAACATCAAATTCATAATTATTAAGAATATTTTGCTGTATGCTTTAGTAGCCAATAACTGAAGGTGGTTGTGATAATAAAAAGAGGAATAAACAGACTCAATTTTGTAAAGTGCTTAAGAAGTGTATGTCTAACATGTCATGATACTTCAAAGACAGAGAAGTATTCCAGAGAAGGGAATCATCTTCCAAATGCTAACAACAGCTTTGGGGATGACTGTATCAGCCATGAAAATAAGCATTGGCCCTTGCTCCCCCAGGTTGCCAAAAATAAATCAGAGTGGCTAATCAGATTCAGTTGGTGGCACTAATGAGAGGGTGGCAGTGGACCAACTGAGATCTAGGCAGTGAGCCTAAAAGAAATATCATCTGTGCTATTGCTTCCTTCTCTGTCCTTCTATCTCAGCCAGTCCCAAAATCTATGTTCAGGAGGATATTCTGCAAGTACTCTGCAGGCATGAAATCCCTGCAGAGCAGCAGAGCAAGCAGACATGGTGAAAAGTAATAGAAATTGATCAGATAAACTTTGGCAAGGCCAATGCTGATGTAAATGGGCACTATAAAGATATTTTAAGACCTTGCATTTTTGGAGACTGAGTAATAGTATTGCTGGACTCTTCAATAAGAATATTTTCACTGAAACTTCAATCACAAAAGTTAATGTAGTGATTTCTCTGGCCCAACATTCTCAGAATAATGCTCACTAATGTTGCAGCAAGCTGTAGGATCCACATCTCCTCATTCTTCTAGAAGGCAGCTGTCTGAGGCAGCAAGTGGGGTCTGGATGCTTGGCTTTAGCTAGGAAGGGAGAGCTCAGGAGACTTAACCAGTTTGTAGCTAGTTCTGAGGGTGAGGTGCTGCTGCAGACAGAATGGGGCACTGTTATAGAGGAGAAGAACACAGCATTTCCTCGGTGTGGAACTGGGACAAGGAAAAGGACTGGCCTGAGACTGACAGCTCTCATTGTCCTAGACAACTGCAACAGCTATCATCTACCGATTCTCTGGCTGGTCTTACTCCTCATAGCAATCCCCGGACATAAATGTTATTATCCTTGTTTTGCCCAGAGAGGTTTAATAATTTGCTTAAGAGCACAGCACCAATATTGCATGAAAGGAGAGAAGGTTAGCACTTCCCTTAACAAGGATGGAAGAGGCTCTCAGGTCTGACAACCCATTTACAGCTAAGGCATTGCCATTTACTTGTTGGCATCTAAGCACTGTCTTTCGGTGTCTCTCATTCAAGTGAGGGAAAGTACAAGCAAAGAAAGTGTTAAAGGATGGGTAGAAAGGTACCAGGGAATGGATCTCTTGCACTAGGGGAATGGTCTAAGGGAACAAGAACAAGAGGAGAGGAGGAGAGCAAGGGGAAATAAGAAGAATAAAGATATGCCATGTACAGGAACCTAAGAACCCCAGTTAATGTAAATATTATAGACCATAACAAGAGCTATGACAAATAACATTACCAGAAATGAAAAATGGGACAGAGGAACTGAAGCAGGAGGGAAAGGAGAGGGAAGGAAAGGGATTAATAAAAAGAAAGAGACATGGACATGTGACCTTTCCCCAAGATGACTCTAAACTACATAAACTGCAAACATGTACAAATAAAATAAGATTAAAAAGCATATATGAGCCGGGCCTGGTGGTGCACACCTGTAACCCCAGCACTCAGGTGGCTGAGGCAGAAGGATCACTGTGAGTTTGAGACCAACCTGGCAGAGTGAGTTCCAGTTAAGTCTCAACTACATAGTGAGACCCTGTCTCAGAAAACAAACAAACAAAAAAGCATACATAAGAATTAGGGAAAAAAAAGATGACAGCAATAGACTTGCGATCAAAGGACTTGAGTTTATATTCTTTTTTCCCCTTGAATTCTTTCATTGGTACATTTTAGGTATACAATGAATTTACATTTATCACTGGGAACTTGTACCTTTACATGATGTATCTTGGTTCTTATTTTCTCTGTGGTCTTTCGCCTGTGAAAGCTCAGGGAAGCCCTAAGATCTCTTAAATTCATCTTTTTAATTTTTAAACTAGGAATAATACTGAAAATCTTCGGATTTTTGTGAGGATTAAATGTTTTTTGTAAAAACACTGATACTACGAGCTCAATACTAGTCGCATGTCAAAGGTCATTCATTGTGTTTTAGCTTGGTTTTGAATCATTCAATAACCTTCAAATCATAGAGCTGTACCAACACTTGCTTACTTACTTCAAAACGCTAGAGTGTTCTGTTTCCATGTTCACTGGATGTTTTATTCACAGAGCATTGGAGAGCCATCCATTTACCAGTTCAAAAACAAACAAACATTAGCTAAGTACCAACTTGGCAGCAGGCATCATGCCAGGTGCTAGCAACAGGCAAATAAGTAAAACAAGGTACTCGAACTCCAGGAGCTCAAAGTCTAATGAGAGGTACATTAAATTCAGTTATAATCTTATCTGAAGTGTTATTAGTTACACACTAAAAAGCAATGCACTTGACACCTGTTTTTCTACCTGGCTCGAATCCCTTAAGTGCATTGTTTTTGTTCCCACTACAAAGCTAACAAGGTCCTGATGGACATCACTAATTAAGGTGTCCCACTCCCAGGTCCAAGCGGGTGTCTTGACTCAGCCTGGGGAAGTCCGTATATCCTCCCCGTATCCACGATGCACAGAGGAGCTAAGCCGGGCCAGGCTGCCTCCTTCTGGGAAAAATGGAAAGGAGCTTGTTTCCTTCTCCGGTTTCCAGTAGATATAGATGTGAACACGGTGAAGTCAGCATCTGTAGTTTCTGTCCCAGGAAGCTAGTGGCTTGAGGTAGAGTTCCTGATTTGGTTCAACCCTTAGGAAACAGTTGTCCTAAGGCCCAGTCCCTATGCAGTTTGGTAGCATGAATGAATAAATCAAGTTTGTTGCTTAAATTGTTTCAGCTGGACTCCCAAGAGAGAGCCAAAGGTCCTGGCCAATAGAGGAAAATCATTCCGTGATATGGACACACAGACAAGGAAGCCCATGGTCTAGGCTTCTGCGGATGGGCGGAAAGGAAGGCTTTAAGGACGAGGTGATGTTTTCAGATGCTCAGAAGTTTATCAGGGGAGCACACTTCAGAAAAGCCTTTTGCTGAACTGGAAAGGTCTCTAGTCCTCCCTCATAGATGCTGGGATAATCAGAAGAGCGGGTGGACAGCCTAAGTTCAAGACACATCTTGCTAAGGAGTTTGGATAGCTTTTAAGCAGAGGTAACCACAAATGGTTTTAATGCAGAAAAGTGACGCAATTGTACCACAATGCAGAAAGACCAACACAGTCAGAAGTATGGGGAATCATTGGTTGCCTGGCCAATCTAAGACCAGTGGATAGGAGGAATCCACTGCCCCAGTTCTGATGAGGCATGACGAGGAGCCCAGCACACCATGGCTGCACCACATCTAGGTGCATCTAGGACATGATGGGTAGTCCAGGTGGTACCCCAATCCACAGGCAGACTGAGAGGAAAATTCTGCTGTGCTAGGGTTGCCACCTAGAAAGCAATGGAATGTTCTGCTCTTTCAAACAGTAACATTAATGATGTTCGGTGCTTAGTAGCACTTAAGCCATGGTTCTCTGTGCACATTATGTAATCCATCCATTTAACATCCTGTCCAGCACCTAGGGTACGTTTTCCAGCCAGATAATCTTTCTTTTCAATTCTTTCAGGAAGATCGAAGTCTCAGCGCTGCCCTGCCAAGGTCTTTGCTGACACTTTCCTAGAATTATTCACAGCTTTTTGTTAGAAATTGCCACGTTCTCATTTGGATGTTATTCTCAAAGATGTAGGGTGGCCTCCCCTCAACATTTCATTATTTATTTGATTATTCTTGAAATAATATAGCAAGCAGTGACCATGTAGTAGAAACTGACCAGAATACTGTGAACACACAATATTTAGAGGTTGAGGAAGACAGGCTTATGTGCCTTTGCCCTCCCTAGAATTGTGTCTGGTCAGTAATGATCAGCAACGATAATTATAAATGAGTTGGTGATCACATAATAAGTGGCATGAACTTCCATGCCGCTTCTTTGTATGAAAACCTGTTCCGAAGCCCATACAGGAGTGCCTTAGTAAATGCTCACTGAATGAATATATTTGCAGTCTGCTGAGTATAGCAGACTTCACAATACATGTCTTAAATATGTTGGTTTTCTTTACTCAGGTGAGATTTCTGTGTCTGAGCCCAGATTCACCCCAGCTCTGCTTCTCCTCTAGTTTTACACGTTCAGATGAAGTCCCTTCTTTATGATTTCAAAACACAGAGGCCTCATCTCTGAGGATACATACACTGTCTAGGAGCTTCACTCAAAATATAAAATTATTCCTGCACAAGATAGCGCATGCAGGACGGGCTACCAGATCATGACTCCTGAGTTTCTCCCACTGTTGTTTCCCATAATTGCCCACCTTTGGCCCCCTAGTTTCCAACCTGACTCTATTTGCCTTGCCCAAACTCAGTGGAGAACGATAATTAAATTGTGTACTCATTAAGCATTAAAGAACACAAGTGATATTTTTATCAAGTTGCTATCTGTGTGGGGGTGTGTAAATAGTAGTTTGCTGTATATAATAACGTGGGTAATTATTTTGTGACTTCCAACATGGACTAAGAGGAGAAGCCCTGCAGAGCTCTAAACAAGAGATTAAACAAAAAATATTTGTGGAAAGGGTTCAGCCTGACATTTTTAAGTGAAAAGGAACTGTTACACTGAACAGATATGCAAAGATTTTATGTGGTATGTAGGATAATAATGACACCGTGTATCCCATTTTCTATTTTATAAAGCACTTTCAAATGCATATTCTCGCTTGATCCTCAAAACACCCCATTAGGTTATTATCTCAATTCACAGGTGATGACACTGAGACTCAGAAACTTTAAATGGATTTCTTCAGGCTTCTCTATTATTACATGGGGGAGCTGGCACTCAAGGCAGCTCTTTTCACTACACATTTTGTGACTCTATTATCCTACCATCCCCAGATTGCAAAATCCTGGAGCCAAAATGATTTCCCAAATGCTACCTTTCAGAGCTGTACTTAATTGGTGGTGAATTGCCTCAGTGCAGAACGTGATTTATACCTCTAAATCATGCTTGTTAGGTTATCAAAAAGTGTCAAATGAAAAAAGAAAAAGTTTTGAAGACAGAACTGGGTTCAAACTCCACTTAATCGATAGCCACTCATTTTAATTCTTTAGGCTTTAGTTACGTCAGGTAAGTTACAGAAATACTAAAATCTATTATAATTAGCTTTCGGGGGCAAAGAACAAATGACAATCTATATGTACTGACTATCTAACCTAGCACTAGGTATCTAGTAGATCTTCCCAAAACAAGAGCTAATCAATATCACAAAATGTCTGTTCCCTTTTCTTGTTGATTTTCTTTGGGGCACATAAAATTTGAAAGTTGTATCATCATGCAGAACCAGACACCGTGAGTCACCTGTGTCTCAATGATCATTTTGACTTTTAATCCGTTTATTCAGTCACCGCTTCTACTCCTTTGTGACAGCGTGGGCGATAGCAGCCAGTATTCCTTTTTCTCTCGTGCTGTGTGTGAAGCATAAGCTCACCTGTTTGATGGAGGGTAACCATGGGAACGGTTTGAGAGCCCACTGTGCTGAGAAGTTCAGAGACCGGGAAACGGGGGTGGGCTGCTGACAGACTGGGGAGGAGGGGGGTCCACAAACCAGAAAGGCACAAAGGACATTTCTTATCAACAGTTCAAACATCGGGCAAATTGTTAGTACTGGATAAGCAATGTTCTTCTGGCTTAATGTGTTTATGAAAAGTAAAAGCCCCTGACAGGTTAATTCTGCCAGAGAAGCAAATGTTATTTTTATAAAATTGAGCACTGACAAACATAATTTTGCCTGACTTTTAAATTCCCTATCCTTCCTTTTATCTTTACTAGTACTTATAGTTTGAAAATGGTTTTACCTCAGAAAGACACTTGTAAAAATGTAGCTGTCCCAGTTACTGAAGGGTAATGTGAAACATGGCAGTGCTAATCATTTATTTTAGAGTCAAATTTCCCCACAGGCATGAAATGTCTTTACAACTGTGACACCAGTTAATTAAATCATGAAGATAGCTAACAGTGTAGCCTACTTACCAAGTTTGCAACATATTTAGGTGGGACCCTTGTGAGTTTTTGTAAGCATTGCTCTTTAATAACCCTCTTTTTGGGTTAAGATCAG